TGTAAAAGGGTAAAAGAGTACATGTATTGGGAAATAATTTATAATGAATTGGAAAAAAAGTTTTAAAGCACTTTCCCAAAAAAACCAGTCTTTTTTGTTGGGGATAATTCAGATGGGAATTCCCAGGTGTCAAAAAAGTTTATTTATGTATGCCACTACGGTGGCCTGTGTTTTGTTGGCCCAAAAATGGAAAACAAGTGAGGTTCCAACCAAAGAATAATGGTAACTCAAACTGGTGGAATATGTGCAGCTTGTAACTTATAGAATAAGAGAACAAGAAGAACATTCATTTAAAGAAGATTGGAAAATGTTTATTGAATATATGGTGGAAAATTGTGTACACTTGAAAACGTTGGCAGCATTAAGATAAATTAAACAGTGTAAGTGATGGAAGTAATAATGGTTTAGTTTATATAAAATATGCAGGGATTTATGCTATGCAAAATGAACCATGGAAAGAGAAGAAAGGAAGTCACTGATATTTTAAGGTTGTTTAAATGAATAGGCCCCACCCAGTGTGGTTATGACTTCCAGGCACACTTGCAGTTTGGCATTATTGGCTGCTAGCTGGTAAGCTACTTCTGGAGATCCACCAGCCTGCAAAAATTGGGTGGAGCAAGCTATCTGGTTCTGTTTGCAGTAGGAACCCATAGGGCAAGATGGCAACACTTCAAGAAAGCAAGGCAGCTGGAGCTTTGGCACCATTCATAGCTCCAATAAAGGTAGAACTTGCCTGAGGCTTCATAATTCCCTCAATCCCTCAGCCCAGATTAGTCCTCCTAGGCTCCACCTTTAGAGCATAGTTTCTTAAAGGGGCAACTCCCTGCCTTGCAGAAGAGCACTTCGTAGTCTCGCTGGCTTCTTGCCTAGTATGCTCCTTGTGTTTCTGGACAGGTGTTGTGGAGCAGAAGGTGCTTGGCTCTTTGGGTGAATCACATCTGGGGAGTGTCTGTCTCAGAATCCACAGGGCTCATGGCCATCAGCCTAAGGCTTGGTATCAATAACCCAGCTGTATTTTTCAGAAGATTGTACAGTGACCACAAACTCCTCTTTCTCCACCTCAGCCTTGGCTCTTTTTCAAGGGCAGGGCTGCTGCCACACTCAGCAAACAGAAAGTCTACAGCTTTGAGTACTTTATTCTAAACGCCATGCCTATCTTGAACAGCAGGTTTTCCCAACTTTGTACATTGCCTTCTGATTTCATACTCAGTGATATGAAGGCCAGTCACCCTACTGGAATCAAAGGAATTCCTTCCGTGTTATAAATTGCATCAGTGTTTAGCTTAAATGTGAGGAAATAATCTCTCTCTCCAGTAAGATATAAATATTCATTCTGTGTGCATAGAATAATTGGCACCAGCTTATCACAGTGATCTTCACCCACACATTTTTTTGTAAACCAGCCTAGCTTTCTTCTGTTTTTTCAGTCTGATTTAAGGCACAGCAATTTGCGTAACTTCAGACGTGGCAATATCGCTCCCCTCATCTCCTCCTACACTCCCCCTCACACCTTGCCAACTCCCTACATTCCATCACCCTAAGTTTCTCATGATTACGCCCTTTGTCTCTTTTCCCATTCTTTGCCTCATGCCTCATTTCATTTAACCGCTTTATATTCAGCACAAGCACAACAACTTTCATAATCACTAAATATCATTTCCCCCTTCATTGAAAAAAATCCTGCTAAATAAGCATCTGGTCCATGAATCATATGCCAGTTATAATAAGCCATCTCTCAACTGAGTTTGACAAGCAGTATAGTAATATCCAATACAAAAACAGTGCAGGCATCTTGAATCTCTTCATTTGATGCCCTTTGCTTTTTTAGCACTTCCCCCTTGTGCGGTGCTTGAGCCTGCAGGATAGTTTCAAAGGGAGTCTCACAAAACATGGCGGCCAGGCTCAATGTGGACTTAATGGCCTTACCCTTTAGATGGAAAAATGATACATCTTTACATACACCTGAAGCAATTGATGGCTGCTGCTTCATGTATAGCAGAGGGGAGAGCATTCCACAGTACAAGCACAACAGCTAGAAAGGCCTGTTTTCAGGGACATCGCCCAATGACATTCTGGAGAGTGCAGAATCATGAGGAGACTATTCCGCAGATGATCTAAGTGAACTTACAGAGGGGAAGGTACTCCTCCAGGTAACGTGGTCCCAAGTTGCTCATGGCTTTATGTGTTTACACAACAAGACCTTGCACATAGCCCAATAGCTGATCGGAAGCCAGTGCAGTTCCCTCAGCACAGGTGCAATATGTGCATTTCCAGGTGTTCTGCTCAGTAGCCTGGCTGCAGCACTCTGCTCCAGCTATGGACATAGGCCTGGCCAGGATGGCTTTCCTGTTATACTTTCTGGGCTCAATGAGGCATCTGACCTTCACCTGAGCCTACTCCAGCTGAGGCAGCCATTTCACGCCACTTCATGGGTGGGGTGGCCTTGCCTGAGGTTATTATGGGCATGCACACTGGTATCTGCTTACCTGTAAGCACACACTTTAAAAATATATATATACATAGGCGCCGACTCCATGGGGCTTGAGGGGGCCCGAGCCCCCTCAAAAATTTGTTTGGGGGGGCTCCGCCCCCCCAATAATCTCCGGCGCCCCTCCAGCAGAGCGCCATCGCCGCCCCTCCCCCAGCCTAAAATGCACAGGGAGGGGCGGGCTGCATGCCTCCTGCCCTCCCTCCCGAGCAAAAGCTCCACCCAATTTCCTTTGGAGCTGATTAATAGGCGCAGCACGCTCTCCCCTATTCGCTCACGAGGAGGCGGCGCCACTTTATTTGCATATTCATGAGCTTATTTATTATTCATGAGCTTTCCCGGGCCCCCCCAATATTTTTTATAAGTCCGCGTCCCTGTATATATACAACTTTCTCAATCTAGCAAATTTGCACAAAACAGCAGCCTTGTGTGTGTGTATGTATTGCTCCAAGCCAGGAAAGTTGAGATCCATGGGGTTTTATTTAAGTGTGCACATACACCTTTTGTTATCTACAATGCTTGCACAAAAGAGAAGTCCAAAAATAAAAATAAGCAATGCATCACTCAAAACTTAGTAAGGATTTGCTGGTTCCTAGGAACAATCATTCTGTACACCATGCAGTGAGTAGATGGGTCTACTTTGTCCGAGCATCTGCACCCAGAATTTAAAGTAGACATTTAATAACAACCAAGAATTTCCTCTTAGGCCCACACAGCAGAACTGGTTTTACCAGAGCTCAGCCTCCAGAAAAGTATAGAGTGACAACAAACTGAGTGTGCCTTCCCCTTCCTGCACATCTGTAGGCACCCTTAAGGTAATTGGAATGTTCCTATTAAGATGCAACTTGAAAACTACCTGTTCCAAAAAAAAAAATGGTGCAGGTCCTTTTTATTCCAAGTACGGTAGTTTGCCTAGTCATAATCCCTGAAGGCAGAAAAGGAGCAGCTACTTCTGCATACACATATTATTAAAGGAATCCCAAACACATTTACTTGAGAGTAAGCCCCACTGGGACTTGTTAATTGCTCCACAAGCATAACAGGATGGGGCTGCAAGATTATCTTTAAGACATCAAGAGCTAAGTAGCATAGATTTATTTATGTGTAATTTCAGTTTCCATATCCTAAAAGCTGTTGGTAATTTGGCTTCTAGGTCAGTTCAGCAGGTTAGCGGGATCCTACCACACGAATGAGATAAAATACATTCTTGTTAGCGGCAGTACTGGTAGAGTGGAAGACAGGGAAGTCAACAGTAGGTGGCGCCAGGGTCAACTAATTCCACCTTTGCTCCCATTCTCTTCCAGCTGAGTTCCAGAATTCTAAGGAGGAGAAAGCTGACTCCCCTGAGGGCTGACTGGTTCTCAAAGGAACGTATTAAAAAGTATGCTATGTTGTGTATAAAAAGAAGACTGGGCTCTGCTGCTAAGTTCTTCAACTGTGTCATACATATATTGTGCTTAGGTCCCTGCTCTTTTACAGATGGTTGTTAAAATATGCAGGATTCATGCAACACTCATTATCTAATTTGAGATCCACCTTACAAAAAATAATAATGACTTCATTCAAAGCTTATTTGTAATGCATTTATCATAAAATGCTTAAACTTTCTTAGGAGTCTGACACAGACATTATAGACTTGAATGTAGTTTCTTACTAGACTACTCCAACTGTGTATTTTGAGAGGTATAAAGCTTATTTTAAATTGTTCTAATATGCGGAGACTGAGCTGAATTGTTGTTTGTTTGTTGTTACTACTACTACTGAGTTGCCTTGCCCTTGCATGAAGTCTTGGGTTTACAATTTTGGGAGAGGGGAGACTGGTGAGGCCCCCTAGACTTAGATGCCCAAGTTGCCCTGCCCCCACATGAAGTCTTCGGTTTGCAATTTTAGGGGGGGGACTGCCCGCTGGGGAGCGGGAGGACTGGCGAGGCCCCCTAGATTTAGAGGCCCTAGGCTTCAGCCTACTTAAAAAAAAAAGGACCCCTGACCGTTAGGTCCTGTCGTGGACAACTCTGGGGTCGCGGCGCTCATCTCGCTTTACTGGCCGAGGGAGCCAGCGTAGAGCTTCAGGGTCATGTGGCCAGCATGACTAAGCCGCTTCTGGTGAACCAGACCAGTGCACGGAAACGCCGTTTACCTTCTCGCCGGAGTGGTACCTATTTATCTACTTGCACTTTGAAGTGCTTTCGAACTGCTAGGTGGGTAGGAGCTGAACAACAGGAGCTCACCCCGTCGTGGGGATTCAAACCACTGACCTTCTGATTGGCAAGCCCGCTTAGCCTACTTAGCCTATACATAAATCCGGCACTGTCCAAAACAGCCTTTCAGAATCAGCAATGCTATCCCAGACTAAATGATTCAAGGACTGTAGTAGCCAAATTCACATGGTGGCATTATGCAACCCTGTTAGAAACAAGCCACCCATTCAAATAGTGCAGTAAGACCTGCACCAGCAGTTGACAATTCCAGGAGGATGAACAGCCTTACCATCATTGCCTTCCTGAACATTTACCTTTTTCTGTTGTCAGCTTTCTCTGGAGAGATGTGGGAGCCAGCTGTATATCATCTCTCCCTCCCTTCTGAACCAGGCTCCTAAAAACCAGTACCAGAAACTTTATTGTTGGTTAACTCTTGTTTTGTTTTGTTTTGTATTTTATGTTCTTAATAATAATATAATAATAATTTTATTATGTTATGTCCTGCCCATAAATAACGAAAGTCTTTAAGGAGTGAAATTTGCTTCTTGACTCTCTGTGTAACACAATTACCATGAGCAGAACCGGATCTTCACTGCTGCAATTATACAAGTGTCAAAAGCAGGGCAAGAGGCCACTGTGAAGCCTCATCCGCTTGCTCCATTGTACTGAGAAGTACCAGCTTTTGTTTCCAGAATGCCTCTGAACAGCTAGTCACGAACATCTGCAGCCGTGTCATGAAACTGCCAGTTGATTGTGTCACTGGACCGGGGAATTGTTTTGATGCTATACTCAGCAGCAGACATCAATTGTTAACAATAATTGTATTAAAGCTTAGGGCTGCTTCCCTTTGGTATCCCAACAATAAACAAAAACTTTTGTATGCCTTATGCACCTCCAAGAACAGCCTCTAGAGGGAGATATTTGTGATACTAGAGTGTGTTCTGGAAGCCAGGGGATCATGGGTTGGTGAGGAGTTATTTTGGAGGCAGGGCATGTGATTGTAACAGAGTTGCCTTCTCTCTTGTTGATCAGTAAAAGTTGTTTTTATAAACTGGATCACTGTCGTATGTATGGAATAATGTGGCTGCCTGTAACTGGAGTATGCCATAAAGCAGGGTGGCAAGATAAAAGTCAGAGCTCAGCACTTTTAAATCAGACCCTCCAAGTGTACTTATTTTCCAGGGATGTCCCTGATTTAGAGAAGCCATCCTGGTTTCTGATTTGATCTTTGAATGTCCCACTTTTTCTTAGGCTGTCCCTCTTTAAATTGGGAAAAGGGTATGACGTTATCCAACCCCCAAGCCGTCTGAAGGCAATCCTTCAATCCTTTTTTTTAATGTTTGATGTTTTATTGTGTTTTTATATATGTTGGAAGTTGCTCAGAGTGGCTGGGGCAACCCAGTAAGATGTGTGGGATATAAACAGTAAAATTATTGTTATGGAATTGTTGTTGTTGATTAGTCGTGTCCGACTCTTCATGACCCCATGGACCAGAGCACGCCAGGCATTTCTGTCTTCCACTGCCCTCCTCATGGAATAGGACGTGCCTATTTTCATCAGAGAAATGTTAGAGGGTATGTTAATATTTGTGCAGAAGAGGAATCTGAGGTGTGGCTTGCATGACAAGCTACACCTGCTGACATTTTTCTACACAGCTATTGCACTCTTTTTCACCCAGCTACAATATTTTAATATTATATTTTATTGGAAGTATGCCCAGCTCACCTCTTTAGAAGCACTTCTGGGTTAAGACTGCAATTCTTTGTATACCTCCTACAAAGTATGAGCCACAAATTTCAAGAGTAGCAAATCTGGAAACATTTATATTGAAAAGCATCTTTTTGTACTTTCTCCTGCTGTCCACGTGGAGGGAATTCCATAATTTAACTAGATCCTAAGGACATAAGAAAAACCCTGCTGGGTAACACCAAAGTTTCACATCCTCTTATCAGTGGCTAACCAGATGCCTATGGGATGCATGAATTCCCATTCATCATGATGGAAATAAAATAAAAAGGCTTCTTCACACTAGTTCCAGGAAGTTCAGAAAACATTCAGCACTTTGCTGCTATTATGGCTAATGACAGGGCCTCATTTACGCAGCAGCTCCATGTTTTAAGGCTTTAAGGGAAAGCAGTAGGAGGCAGTGGATTATGGGAGCTGGAGGGAAGGTATGACGAGTTAGGTTTAGAACATTCAGGAAGATTATTAGCTCAGAATATGCTCTCCCACTGTTAAAACACCCATCGAAACTCAAGTATATCCTTACTGTTATTTATGATAAACTAGCTATTACACCCCAACCCATGGCCTTATTGTGTGGGAGTAGAAATACGCTGGAATTGTGTGGGAAATACGTTTGGAGGTTACTAAGCACCATTACTTTTTTTTTAGATCTTCTGAAAATATGGTACCTACCTCCACCCAAGTCCAAAGGTTACTGCTTTGACAAATAAATGCAGCCATATCCTCTTAATGCGTACCTAGAAGAAAATATTTAAGAGCTTAATGTGCTTACTTCCAATTAAATGTGCATAGGATCACTGCTTTGTTATTTTACTCAGTCCAAACAGTAAATTGCTACTATAATACATACTCTTCATTTATACAGCACATTTCTGAAGTAGGTAATCCTTACAACCACCCTGCAAAGTAGTCAGTATCATTAACCCCTTTTTAATCATTACATGGTATTTGGCCTCAGTCCTGAGATGCAAGCTTAGCTACACCTTCACAGTATAATTCATCCAAGCTGCCATTTTCAGTGATCTATTGTTCATAAATGCAAATTAGAATCCATACTTCAGCTATAAGCAAACATCAGAAGAGTGGAGGGGATTTTATTTTTTGCTTTACCATTCCTTAACTATGTAGACTGTCAATGCAACAGGTTGGTTAAAGATATTAAGGCATTTAAAGAGATCTTTTGCATGCTCCAGTGTGTGCATGCACTAACTCCGTGTTAGTGTTTGGTATGTAGAACAGGTAATTATCAGGAGAGAAAGCGACCATGTAGAACAAACATATGCGGCAAATGAAGATTTGTTCGCTATAAAAGCTTTGTGGCTGGCATCCTACACTCTCAATACTGAACTCATTCTTTAAGTGTGGATCCTTTTATCAGGAAGCTTGAGGAACCCAAAGATTTGCAGAAGTACAAAAACTCTTGCAGTCGGGTGGGGGGAAATCTGACAGGGAGAGATCCCCCAAAACAGACCAACAAGGAATAAGTATACTCAGCTGCCATGGCATGCTGGCTGAAGGAGGGGGGGGAATGGGAGTGGAGTAATGTGAAAAAAGGCATGGCTCTCCCACACCTTGTACAGGAGCACTCTGCACTGCAACACTTTGTTGCAGGCCCCATTTGTCCTATATTATACTTTTAACTCAGTTGAACTCTCAGCCCAAACTACTGAAGGTTCAGAAGCAAGTACCACCAACTGCAACGGACTACACAGTATTCGGCTAACCTTTACTCACTGGGAGACCCATTGACTTAAGTTAGGGTCCACAATTCCCAATGGAAAAGTTGGCTGACGACCACCCCATTGAAACTTCCTACAATTGCAGCCTTAATAGCCAAAGTAAACATGACTGGATCATCAGTTTTAAAAGCGTTTTATATCTTTTTCCCCCCTGGCAGGTGCTCATGCAGGTCTCTTGGGTGGTGGTGCTCTTGCCCCCCCCCAAAAAAAAACCCGCAGCAGGACTTCCTTCTTCTGAGGTGAAGCGTGGCCATATCCTTCGACACCTAACACGTGTCCAGAGTCCAAAATGACCGTGCGGACATCCCAGTTTTGGGTTGGGATTAGAATCCCACCCCCACCCCTGAGCAAACCACAGCGTCGCCTACCCCCCCCCGAAACTCTGTGGGACATTTACCGAACTAGGGCCGGGGTAGCGTAGAAAAGCCCCCCAAAAAACAATGTGTGTGGTGGGGAGGGGGCATTTTGTAGCCGAGAGGCCGCCTGCCCGTCGCGCCTCAGGCCAGGGCGCTTCCCCTCGGGCCGGGGCCGCTTTCTGCTGCCGGGATGCCGCCGCGGCTCCGGCAGGGGGCGCTGCCATGGGGGGGCGCCTTTCCCGGCCGCCTCTGACCCATCCCGGCCGCCTTAGCTCTCCTCAGGCTCCGGGCCCGGCCGCCGCTGGAGGCTCCTGGGCCTCCTGAGGGAGCAGCGGGCCAGCGAAGGCGTCGCGGCGGCGGCGGGGGAGCGAGCGAGCGGCGGCGGCGAGGCCTGCGGCCCGGGACCATGTTCACCAGCACCGGCTCCAGCGGGCTGTGTAAGTAGCGCTGCCCTTGGTTGGGGGACGGAGGGAAGGGGCAAGGCAGGCGGCCGCCCTCCGGAACCCGGCTCTCCCTTTCCCCTTCCCCGGCTCCTCTCTCCGGGCGCCCGCGCCGAGTCTCCTCCCTCTTCCGCTCTCCTCGGCCCTCCCCAACCCCGAAACCCTCTGGCCGCCACCCGGCGGGGGGACGTTTCCAAGAGCCGCGCAGGCCCGGCCCGACGCTTCGTGAACAAGAAAGGATCGCTCTCCCCCCCCCCCCGTGTCGCAGTTTTTGCGCGTGTGCACGGCGCCCGCTCGGAACGCGCGTTAGCCGGATCGCGAGTCCGCCCTTAGTGGGTTATTCTAGAGTCCCAGGAAGTTCGCATTGCAGAAATAATAATAATAGAAGAAGAAGAACAACAACAACTTTTTTCTAGAAAAATAGGTGCAGGTACTTACCGTGAAGTTGTTATAGTGTCACAATTTTTAACCAAAGAAAGAGAGGGGCCTGTACTCACCATGAAGTTGTTACAGTAAGTGTCACAATTTTTAACCAAAAAGGTGTCACACTTTTTAAAAACAACAAAAAGTACTGCATACCCTTGAGTATCCACTGGGGGGGGGAAGTGATGATGATATACCGTACTTTTATTATTTATACCCTGCCCATTGGGCTGGATTGCCCCAGCCACTCTTGGCGGCTTCCAACACATATAACACCGTCAAACATAAAAAAACTTCCCGATACAGGGCTGCCTTCACATGTCATCTCAAAGTTCTAAAAGAAAGATCTGGTCATTGAAAGATGCAACTCTTTGATTTTTGCTGCAATGGGCTTAGCCCTCTGTAATGAGCATATTGCTATTATTTATTTTGTTTATTAAATGGCTATACTGGCCTTCATTGGAGAAACGCAGGGAGATTTACAATATCAAAAAACACACAAAACAAAACACAAAAATACATGACATAGTAACAAACGAAAACAGTAACTCCCCACAGTTTAAAAGGCCATAGATTCCCCAATTAAGCAAAGTTCAGAGAGACATACTTCCAACACATGTGATTGATTGATTGATTGATTGCCCACATTTCAACATAAGGTCCCAGGGCAGGTTACAGCATTAATAACAATTAATAACTTACAATAGCTATAAAAATAAATACGAGGTGGGTCCTAAAAACATACACTTCAAGTGTTAAAAGCCAGGGGTTAAAAAGTGCGTTATTCCACATTTCCTCCAAGGCAACGCTCATGGTTTCTTCCATCATACCTTCAACAGCAGTTCTGTGCAATAGGTTAGGCTGGGGAACAGCGATTGGCCTGAAGTCATTCAGTCAGTGTCATCCTTCAGGGAATTGAACCTGAACCTTCCTGCACCTAAAGCTGTAATCCTGAAACCTCTAGCACTTTACTTCTGAATAGACAGGGTTAGGATTGTGTTGCAATAATATAACCATCACAGTGCACTCCCTCCTCACCCTTGATTCACAATGGCCTTAGCAGGGAAATTGTTTCCCACCATGTGTTCATGTTAATAATACGTTGTAAATCTGTGTGTTTTATATATCTGACTGCATGCAAACGACAGCGCAGAGTGAAACTGTGGAATTCACTTCAACAAGACGTGATGGCCAACAATTTAGATGCCTTTAAAGTGAGATTGGATAATGCTGTCATAGCTGCTGGTCATGATAAGTGTATATAGTACTACAGCAATGTGCCCCTGGATATCATCTTCTGAGGAACAACAGTGAGAAATGGCTGTTGCCCTCATGTCCTGTCTGTGGACATCTCATAGGCATCTGGCGAGCTGCTGTCAAAAACAGCATGCTGGGTTAAAAGGAGCTTTGGTCTTATCCAGGACGGCTGTTTCTAGCTGCACTCAGCTAGTTGAGTTACACACTTTTGTTCTTCTGTTGTGGTTATGGCACAACTGGAGTCTGGACTGTGTAAGAATGAGCTGTGTTGGCCAACTTAATATAGTATAGGGATGTTTTACCTGGTGAGCGGATGACTTGTAAGAATGTGGGAAGAGCATTAAACCATAACACGAACTTTCCCTTAGCATTCTCCTCTGCGTCCTGTTGCATGAGTTCAAATTCCACCCCTTTACCAGTAGGATACGCAGATAATACACGTTAAATAGCACCTGTGGTCGAGACTGCATCAACTAGTTAGAGCAAGACCAAGTATTGTTGCAGAGCAGTTATTGTCCAGTCTCTGAACCCTTGAGTTTAAATCGGGTGGGGAGCTATGGGCTTCATGATATTGTTGAACTCTAGCTCCCATAACTCCAGCCATTTTGGCCAATAGTCATGCAATATTATGTTTAGCCAGCTTGGCCTATAGCTGTGCAATATTATGTTGAGTTGCATTGCAATATTATGTGGAGGGCCACAGTTTCCCCACCCCTTGTTTAGATAATTTGGAAAGAGTGCCATATACTCAATATTGTTGTTTTAAAAAGAAGATTCTGATTAGAAAGTATATTTAAAATGCTTGCTATTTGTTCAAATTAGGATCCCCCCCTTTAATCCTTTTCATTCAAGTGAAGCGTGGAGTGCTGAACTCTTTCAGTCTAGTAGAGGTGGAGTTCTCTGTTTCTCTTCTGTACCCAACATAGAAAGAGGGCTATTGAAAGAGGCAAGCCCCCTCTTCCCCACCTAGCATAGGAATGCAGTGAGTTAAATAGTAGGTGAATAGGGCAGTGCATACAGGTGTTTTCAAGATTACAGCCTTTGTTTTAATTCCTGCATTTTGTTCAGCATGCAGAAAACTTCAGACTTTAAAATAAATATATCCAGTAACAGATAGATGGCAGGCAAGACCAATCTTTGAACTTTTTTTTTAAAAAAGTGTATCATATGTGTCACAGTACTTGCAGTATCTCTGGATTTAACCAATTTTTCTGAAGGAATTGAAAAAGACAGATGCCTTAAATCAAGGTTAGCCAGATGTTGTTGGACTACAATACCTATCATCCTTGACCATTAGTAATGCTGGCTGGGGCTGATGGGACTTGTAACCAAAATATATTGAGTGACCAAAACCAGGGCCTTCAGGGGGGGTGTCTACCTGATGCTTTACAGTGGTACCTCGCAAGACGAATGCCTCGCAAGACGATTTTCCCTATGGGCTTGCTTCGCAAGACGGAAACGTCTTGCAAGTTTGTTTCCTTTTTCTTAACACCGTTAATACAGTTGCGACTTGACTTCGAGGAGCAACTCATAGAACGCGGTGTGGTAGCCTTTTTTGATGTTTTTAAAGACTTTGGTGATTTTTGAAGCTTTTCCAAAACTTTCCCAACACCGTGCTTCTCAAGACGACAAAACTTGCGGAACGAATTAATTTCATCTTGCGAGGCACCACTGTATTAAAGTAAATTTTACAGTTATTTGGCTTAAAAAATGCTCTGAGGGTATAGGAGACACTAAATTAGGTCTCCAGTTAGTTTCATGGCCAACCATGCCTCCTGCCTGATGCTTATAATGTGATTATAATGTGATTTTTTGCGCTTTGAGGGCTAATTTCTCCCTTTCCCAAAAATATTTTTGGTAGTGAAGGGAGAATGAGCTGACAATTTATGCTGTCAAAAAATCCTCATTGACCCCTAGTATTCTTAGGAAGGTCCTTTTTAAGAAGACTTGAATGCTTGCCTTTCTTGAGTTGTGGACTCCTAATGCCAAATCATTGTTGCTGTAAACGAGTTCAGGATTTTATAAACTTATTAGGCAATTTGAATATTTTTAAAATCCAGGTAATGTGAACAGGCACTGTTTTAGCAGCAGTATTTTTGCTGCTGATAAGTAAAGGTTTTATGCTGATCTACCGAACAATTTCATAGCGCCACACAACTTTATTATACCTTTAAAACTGACTTGCATTCTTATTTTAAAACATTTTCCTGACGACATTTTGCTTGCAAAGACATCTGATGATTGAACAGACAGCTGTACTTTCCACTGTGGGTAACTGTCACGTTTAGGTGTTGGTTACAGCTGTGGCTACTCTACCTTGTGATAAAAATAAAAATAGCCAAATACTCACTTCCTGTATGCTAAAGTTTTAGATGTCTAAAAGAAACACAGATGACCAAGTACGGGTGAAAGGTTTGCATCTATATACTGTATACTGCAGGGTCTGAGTCTGTGTAATGAGATCTTGGGGTGCAAGCCTGAGCAATGTGTATGGAGGTCCTGTGCTGCCCAGATAACACGAGGCTCCTCGTGGCCTTGCTGATATGGCCCAAAAGAAAGCAGAGAAATATGTTTGGCAGCAGCTTGCTTACAGGAGTTGCCAGAAGGAACTTACAAGGCGCTATCCAACCGCCTTATGGAATCCACTCTGCATTTGTGTAGGGTTTACTCTTTAGCCTTTTCTTCTCCCGAAGGTTTAACATCAGAGTTTTCCTTCTGCTAGATGGGCTACCTTCTCAGGTTGACAAGCCCCACCTGCCCCTCGCTTCTCTCTACAGCATGTGTGTGGTAGAGCCAGTGTGGTGTAGTGGTTAAGAGTGGCAGACTTGTAATCTGGTGAACCGGGTTCGCGTCCCTGCTCCTCCACATGCAGCTGCTGGGTGACACTTCTCTGAAGTCTCTCAGCCCCACTCATCTCACAGAGTGTTTGTTGTGGGGGAGGAAGGGAAAGGAGATTCTTAGCTGCTCTGAGACTCCTTTGGGTAGTGATATAGCGGGATATCAAATCCAAACTCTTCTTCTTCATGTTTAGAAGCTGTCTTCTGGACCATTGGACCCAATATTGGTCTTGTCCGCTCAATGTGCCAGAGTCTGTCTTCACATGCAGGGGAAGTCACTGAGGGTTTGAGACCCATCGGTAACCTTCACCTGGTTTATCCAGTCAGTTGAAACTGTTTTCCAGGGTGTGGCTGCTGTCGCGTGCTGGCAACTTCTAGCAGCCACTGGTGAGAGCTGAGTGCAGGGTAGGGACCAAAGTTGGACAAACGACCCCAGAAGGAGCACAGTGTGTCCCCCACCAGAGGTACTATCCCCCCCAGCACCCCATCCACCCCAATCCACAAGCAAATTAAAAACAAACATACATAAAACCACCATTAAAAACAAAGATAAACTCAATCAAATTAAAGCTTATATTCTTAGTCCTCTCAATCAAAATAACAGATCTGGCACACCAGCACCACAAACACATTAATCCAGGTCATAGTCACAATTTTTACATTGGATTACAACAAGCTGCTAACAAATCACAGAATGCATCTATGGACATGGAGATGACCTATGATTTGGTGTGGTTTTGAGGGAATACCTTATAAAATAAAATTATGAGGCTGCATAAGGATCTGTGTCTTGGGTGTATGCTTTTGTGCCATGGTATTGTTGGAACTAGGGACGCGGGTGGCGCTGTGGGTAAAAGCCTCAGTGCCTAGGACTTGTCGATCGAATGGTTGGCAGTTCGAATCCCCGCGGCGGGGTGCGCTCCCATTGCTCGGTCCCAGCGCCTGCCAACCTAGCAGTTCAAAAGCACCCCCGGGTGCAAGTAGATAAATAGGGACCGCTTACTAGCGGGAAGGTAAACGGCGTTTCCATGTGCGGCTCTGGCTCGCCAGAGCAGCGATGTCACGCTGGCCACGTGACCCGGAAGTGTCTGCGGACAGCGCTGGCTCCTGGCCTATAGAGTGAGATGAGCGCACAACCCTAGAGTCTGTCAAGACTGGCCTGTACGGGCAGGGGTACCTTTACCTTTACTTTAATTGTTGGAATGCACCAGAGCTGTGATTTTTATGTCTTTGGTCAGTGAAGACAGGTGTAGTCTGTGATGTGATAGTGGTGAGGGGGCAGGATGAGAGAAAACTCTGCAATTTTAAAAGGGTCCAGTTTACTGTATTTTTGTGTGTGTGTGTGCGCATGCACATCTTCTCTGGCACCCCATTCCCCCCGTCTCCTGTGGCCCAACATTTTCTCCCCCAGGTGCACCATTTCTTTGCTCCCATCTCCCATATCATTCCCCTTTCCCTCCTACCCTTTCAGTCACTTTCTCTTTAGTTGTTCGGAGCTTTGGAAAGCACCTAGAAATGAAAGAAGAAGTAGGAAAGAGCATTGCTCTTCCAACTTCTTCCATCAGCTGTACATATTTGGGGGGGGGAGTGTGGAGGTAAGCACTCTCACTATCTGATCACAAAGGGGGCAATGAGCAAGAAGCGAAGGTGCTCAGAGGCTCTTGGGCACCAGGGGAAGTCCTCAAGGAAGCGCACTACTGTTCCCACAGGTACCACATTGGCAACCCTGGATCTAATGCACATGTAGGTAAATGAGTGTGCATTAACACACTTGGTGGTGGCAGCCTGCTACTTCATATTGCCTGCCCCACAGCCAGCAGATCTTGGGATATGTTTCAACACATAAAGTATACAGAGTGAAGTAAGAGCCTATTGGTAAAATCTTCAAAAAGTAGTATAAGCACACATAGCATAATATGCTAGAGCTCCATTGAGTCTCCTCTCCCTCACCCATCATCTGATTCAACAGCTGACTGCCTCGGGAACATGTGAGAAACAATGCTTATTCCATCAGCTCTGCTGAAGACAAGTCCCATTGGGCACCTCCTGTTCCTGAACCGTCTCTGTTCTAGCTGGTCGAAAGAATTAAGAAATTGGTGCCTGCATTTGCTTTTCCCCTTCTCCCGGTCCCTCTTCCCTGATGTGATTGTAAGCCTGCAGACAGGGACTCCTCTTGTTTTGATTAGAATCACAGAATGGTAGAGTTGGGTCATCTAGTCCAACTCCCTGCAATGCTCCCCTGGATGGGCTCGAACCAACAACCATCTGCTATGCTCTATTGTATGTAATTTGATTGTATGTAAGCTGCTCTTGTAGGGACACGGGTGGCGCTGTGGGTTAAACCACAGAGCCTAGGACTTGCCAATCAGAAGGTCGGCGGTTCGAATCCCCACGACGGGGTGAGCTCCCGTTGCTCGGTCCCTGCTGCTGCCAACCTAGCAGTTCAAAAGCACGTCAAAGTGCAAGTAGATAAATAGGTACTGCTCCGGCGGGAAGGTAAACTACATTTCCGTGTGCTGCTCTGGTTCTCCAGAAGCGGCTTGGTCATGCTGGCCACATGACCCGGAAGCTGTACGCCGGCTTCCTCGGCCAATAAAGCGAGATGAGCACCACAACCCCAGAGTTGGCCATGACTGGACCTAATGGTCAGGGGTCCCTGGACCTTTACCTTTAAGCTGCTCTGGTAGTCCTTTTGGCCGAAGAGCCTGTACAAATGCTATAATATGAATAAAGAATAGCATGCTCATGAAATAAGTAAGAGCTGTTAGACAGTGGAACGGACTTCCTTGGGAGGTGGTGGATTCTCCTTCATTGGGAGTTTTTAAGCAGAGGTTGGGTCTCTGTCATGGATGCTTTAGTTGAGATTCCTGCATTGCAGGGGGTTGGACTAAATGACCCTTGGGACCCCTTCCAACTCTACAATTCTATGATTCTGTGATTCTAAGAAATCAATAAAATAAATTACTGCGTATGTTTCTGTTTAGTTGGTTTCTTCACGTTCGTTTTCATAAGAGAGTCACATTCCTACAGACTCAAAGTGGGGGAAATATTGAAGATGAGTATTACGTCTTGGACCGAACTGGATGAAATAAGGTTTCATTTGCTATGTTTCATTTGAATCATAAATCAATTTTATGTGGTGAGAGCCAGTGGTGGTGTAGTGTTAAGAGTGGTAGTCTCGTAATCTGGGAACCGGGTTCAATCTCGCCTCCACATGCAGCGCGGGTGCCTTGCAGCAACTTCTCTGGTCTCTAGCCCCACACCCACAGATTTTGTTTGGGAGAGGAAAGAGAATGCTAGTAGACTCCTTAGGATGAAGGCGAACATCCACCTTCTTCTCTTCCTTTATAGTAATGGGAATAATTCATTTAATTTGGATTGGGAGCACTTGTTCTTTAATCTGTTTTCAGAAATATTATTGTAACTGGAACATTTTATTATCTATTTTTGTTTTGTTTTAAAGATAAAGCACCTCTGTCAAAAGGCCTCTTAATAATACCGAGCACTCTCTCACTTCTGTTGGCTCTGCTCTTTCAACATTATCAGAAGTTCTTCACATACAATCTGCAAGCAGTAAAAGAGGAATTTCAGGTAAGCAATAAGTCATTTGTAAGAATGCATATGTATAACTTTAAAGGTCAGGAATTCCACAACCTGGATCTTAATATATATATATGGATTCTAAGCCAAATGGAATCTTAATACACAACACTTGGGAAACGTAATTAATAGGAAAGCAAGTCTCTCATGTCAAATGTAGGAAGTTAGCAGCGGCTGCAACAGAGGACCCACATTGGGGGAAAGGCTTTTTGCTCTGCCCATTTCATTCATCCATGAGTTAAGTGCCTTCTCGCGTAATTGTTCTTCCTTCAGTGATGTCAATCCAGTCCTGTAAGTCTCAGTTTAAAGGTCCAAAGGTCATATTAAATTAGAGATGCAGCAATAGCTTTGTTGCTAGGGGATTATGTCACTGGGGTGGAGGGAATCCCCATGTTGCCTCAAGCATGCATTCCAGAGGATGCTTTTGGCCTGCTGTAGGGATACTGGCTAGTATCAAGGCAAAGTGAGTGCAGCCTCAAAACACTGAACGCAGGCTGCCAGCCCTGCTACAAAAACTGTGTTGTGGTGATGAAGGAGGTAAAGTGCTAGAGCCCAGCTGCTGAGAACTCCAGTTGCTCTGACTTACTTGGGTGGGTGCATACATACTGATCATGTATGTATGCATATCTCTGCTTCTCATGCATATTCTTATGAAAACGCAGTTATAGGGGCTGTTGACCACAGCAGCAATGTGGGAGGTGATTAATTGCTTTCTCACCCGTGAGGGGAAAAGAGAGAGTTATTGGGGGCGGATTGTTGCTGCTGGAACACTTGAATGTCAAAATCTCAGATCCTTTTTGCTCAAAGAGAAAGAGAGGGAGAGGAAATGATGGCTGTTTGTTCTGTGCTGATAGCATTGCTGTTATTGGGAGATATGATCAACAACTGAGTAACCACAATAAATGTTATTGGAATACACTGCTTGCTTTTTTTAAAAAATTACTCCAATCATGAGTATCTGAACCCTGATCACTATAAATCTAAAATATCTTTTGACACACACCCTAAATTTGAAATGCCATGCCTGATTTTGCACTCAATGTATTATTGCCAGTCTAAATCAATTTGACATAAGACCTATACAGTGGTACCTCGGGTTAAGTACTTAATTTGTTCTGGTGGTCCGTACTTAACCTGAAACTGTTCTTAACCTGAAACACCACTATAGCTAATGGGGCCTCCTGCTGCTGCCACGCCGCCGGAGCACGATTTCTATTCTCTTCCTGAAGCAAAGTTCTTAACCTGAAGCATTATTTCTGGGTTAGCGGAGTCTGTAACCTGAAGCGTATGTAACCTGAAGTGTATGTAACCCGAGGTACCACTGTATTAAGACGATTGGTTTACAGCTCATGAAACTTGAATTCTTTGCATGGTTTTGGATAGTCATTGAGTAAAAGAGGATTCTTGTACTTTTAACAGCTGTGTGGCGAGCAGAAATTCAACAGGTGAGGGGTTTCCTACTATAGAAATAATTTATAGGAAAATTCACCTGTTGACTTCTGCCTGCCGGGCATCTTCTTGCTTGTGTGTGAGCCTGATTTCTTTTGGAGCTCTCCTTTGAAAGAGGATACATAATTGCGCATGGCACACAATGCATACAAATTTGATGGAAATTGCCCTTTTAAAAATGAATGGGGTGAAGGATGCAATCTACAGCATATTCAGCCCAGAAAATCCTCTTGGTACATGTGGGCATGCACAGTCTTCTACCGTCCACGTTCTTAGATAACACCAAACTATAATTTAGGATGAAAATGCTGGCTTCCAGAGAGGAATTACAGCCACTTTTCTCCTCTCCTTTGTTGGCATGACAGCTAAACAAGGTTTGTCTTAATGTGTCATCTGAGCACAAGATTATGGTTAAGCTCTCTCCTTCTTAACTACAAACTTTGATTGAGCTACATTTGGACGCTTCCAGTAAGCCAGTGCTTGACTTTCCATGATATGCTAACCAGGCCACTGTCAGTATGCATCCTAGTATCTGAGTCTGGAGAAAGGAAAGTAATGTTTGGGGGAAGAATGCAGAGAGATGAGCACCAGGCAGGTGGAGGGAAGTGTTTCTCTACCAGCATGGCATTTTTGCTCTTTAAATAAGATGCTAATCCCCACCCCCTACGGAACCACAAGACACAGCCTTGCAGCTGTACCGTGTCATGTGGACCGTAATCTGAAATGGGTATATGATGTTTAATCTTGTTGGAACAAAAAAAGAGTTGATGATGATGTAATAATAATAATAATAATAATAATAATAATTCTTTATTTATACCCTGCCCATCTGGCTGGGTTTCCCCAGCCACTCTGGGTGGCTTCCAACTGAATATTAAAAACAATACAGCGTCAAACATTAAAAACTTCCCTAAACAGGGCCGCCTTCAGTTGTCTTTTAAAAGTAAAATAGTTGTTTATTGCCTTGACATCTGATGGGAGGGCATTCCACAGGGCAGGTGCCACTACCGTGAAGGCCCTCTGCCTGGTTCCCTGTAACCTCACTTCTCACAGCGAGGGAACCACCAGAAGGCCCTCGGAGCTGGACCTCAGTGTCCAGGCTGGATGATGGGGGTGGAGACGCTCTTTCAGGTATCCTGGGCCGAGGCCGTTTAGGGCTTTAAAGGTCAGCACCAACACTTTGAATTGTGCTCGGAAACGTACTGGGAGCCAATGAAGATCTTTCAGGACCAGTGTTCTATGGATAGAAATATCTGTAGCAAACCCCTGTGGGTACAGAGTGCGGACACAGTCATTTATTTCCTTTTGTGGTTTGTCTTTAAAAGGGGATCCAGGATAATAACTTGTTCCAGCAATAGCAGTGTCCTTGCTAGAAGGTTTTCTTTTGCTCTCTATTAACATTTTATGGCCTTGTACGTATTACGGCTTTATAGTGCTATGGACCATTGGTTCTCAAAGTACAGAGCAAGCTACGTTAGGTACGTGCACTGGAATTGTATCTAGTGTGCTTTGAGTTGACATGCAGTTTATAAGACGAAAGTTGAAAATGTGTTCATATAAGCAACTTGTTCTTTTAAATTATCTTACCAAAAGAACAATTGGCATTTGGGACATTCATGCATTCATGTGTTTTCTGCTACTTTCAGGTTTGGAGACTTGTATGTGGGAGAACAGTATGTCTTGATCTCAAAGACACATTCTGTAGCAGCTTGCTCATCTACAACTTCAGGATATTTGAAAGAAGATATGGCAGCAGAAAATTTTCGGTAAGTTCCAGTTCTGTTTCCTCTCACGTTTTTACATCTTCAGGCTCTGTATCTTCCTCCCTGTCAGCACACTTAGTGCAAAACGTGTTAAGGGTGCTGGGAATTGTATCACTGCGTTTGGGTAGACCAAAGTTGGGAGCTGAGGTATTTGCTCTCTGGATTATGATCTCTTTCGCCACTTTCTTCTCTTCTGTCTAAAATCCAGAAAACTAAAAATCGTCTTTAGGCCTTAGAAAAGTCTGTGGGAAGATGTATTAAGTTTGTGATTCTGAGCATTTGTGTTCCTCTTTTTCAGTCATTTTTGCTGGGCTCCTGGATGCTGTCAGTATTGTTTGATCTTCTCCTTGTAGAAGCTGTTGAATATTCTTTTGGCCTCACCATCAATAGTTTGCCATCGGGATTGTAAGTACCGCAGCTTGTTAGGGGGTTTGCTGAACTCTGGGTACCTTAAATATGGTTTCAAGGGATGTAGTTAGTACAGTTTTAAGTCTTATTAGGAAATGCATTTCTTTTATTCGTTACTTTATTCGTTACTTCTCAGCATCCTGATCCACACTCTACTAAGTGATCATGCATACCGACACAAAACTGAAACGTGTTAAGATTATATGTATTAATATGTTGTAAGGGAAAGTTTATAACTAGCCCACCATCGCAGATACTTCTTCTGATGTTCCTTTCTTGATCATGAGCTATACTAGTATGTATGTACACATGAGGCCTGATTGGCCAATGAGCAATAAATTTTGCTACTTACAACTGAAATTGTTTTGAGGGGAAAACCTTGTATTGTAAGATAAGAAGTGTTAGCTTGGTCATCTGGGCACTGGGGGGGGGTGTTTGCTTTCATCTTGCTATTGAGAGTGAAGCAATGGGAATGCTTCGTTTGCCCTCAGTGATACCCTCGCATAGCCAAATTTTGTTGGCTATATGTCACTTTGTTGCCATAACTTTTATTATACAGCACCCAATTGGCTGGGATCCTGCACTGATTAAATTGGGGTTATTGAATAAATTATTTTGAGTTGGGGGGAAAAGAGAGAAGGAAGCCTAGGTGGCAGCAGGTGATGGATAATGGCTGCTAACATATATGAAAAAGAGGAATTGTTTTCATGAACATGGCCACTTTTGAAATGGAAATCAAATTTCATCAAAAAGTCCATTCAAAATTTCTTGAAAAGCTGTCTTTCTTTATTTGTGTGTATGTATGTGTGACTTTAGACACATATAATTGATATCATGTGCCTTATTTTGTGTAAGTTTGTAAGTACAGTGGTACCTCGGGTTACAGATGCTTCAGGTTACAGACGCTTCAGGTTACAGAATCCGCTAACCCAGAAATAGTACCTCGGGTTAAGAACTTTGCTTCAGGATGAGAACAGAAATCGTGCTCCGGCGGTGTGGCAGCAGTGGGAGGCCCCATTAGCTAAAGTGGTACCTCAGGTTAAGAACAGTTTCAGGTTAAGAACAGACCTACAGAACGAATTACGTTCTTAACCTGAGGTACCACTGTACTTTTATTCAATTCAAAAACAGCTGGGAGTATAAACTACACATATTAAGTACAGTGGAACCTTGGTTTTCGAACATAATCCATTCTGGAAGATTGTTCAGCTTCCAAAATGTTCAAAAACCGAGGATCACTGGGCTGGCTGCAAAGTCAGTGGGGGGAGAAATGAAAAATATGCCTCAGAAGCCGTTCAACTTCTGAGGAACATTTGAAAACCGGAGCACTTCCGTGTTTTGGCATTCAGGAGCAAAACGTTCAAGAACAGAGCCATTCGAGTTCTGAGGTTTGACTGTACAGTATACTGAATTTTCTATTTCTAATTCTAATAATGGTGCAGGGGTCCCTTTACCATTACAAACTTTGTTACAGCCAGGGGCACAGTGCTGGCTTCCATGCTTGTTTGCTTGTGTGGAAGTCTTTGCATCTTGCTCTTATTTTGGCAGGCGCAAATAACAGATTAGGCAGTATCAGTTGTTATTGCTTAAATTTTTATTGCCGGTGAAAACTTGATTTCGAAATACAGAATTCTACAGGCTTTTATTTCAAAATCAGGAATTCTACAGTTTCCCCCTTTCCACGCCTCCCCCCTCTTGCATGTGTGTGGCATTCCTATAAACACTGAAATAATACAGTTTTCAACCAAGTTTCAAATTTTGTAATTCCAGAAAGGTAACATAATCTTTACAGCCAAGCAGCAAAGATAATAAAATTATAAGGAAACAGGTATAAAATTGAATTTATTAAATAAGCAGGAGTCTCAATGCATGTCCAAATAGGCTAACCTCTTTGTTCAGAGTGGAAACCATTTGAGAGAGGAATGATAGTTATTTCTTTCTTCTTTGACATTTTCCATTTGTTCTTAAAGTTTTGCTATACTTTCTTGTGCTCTGTTGAATACTATTCAAGTCTTTATTGACAGTTTTTTATATCATCTCACTGTTGATATTACTTAATGACCTCATGCTTCCAGTTCGTATACTTTTCCTTCGTACACTTCGAAGATAATTACGATAAAGCATGACACTGATCACTCGGGCCTGAAATTGTTTAGAAACAAGATAGTACAAAATTACATCTAGACATGTGCTGAGATTCATGAGAAAGGTGGTAAACACTCCCCATGGGTTGTAACTCACAGGTCCATGCTGGAGCATCAGAAATGCAAAACAGATGTGAAAAGGCACAAAACACACAAGCACTTGGACAATCAGAGTCACAATAATTCTGATGGACCTCTCTTTAGCCTTTGGTTTCAGCTTGGAAGTTCTTCCACGAACGAGACTTTGAATGATGACTAGGTAACAACCAATCATGATAAATAGAGGGATCAAGAAGAAAAGAATCAGCCGAGAAAAATTTAATACATTGACTTCCTTTAGGTAGATAATATCCATCATCTTAATGCAAGTGGTGAAGTTTGCCGTTCTGTCTGGATCAGAATCTAAGAACAACAGTGGAGAAGATGTCGCTAGAGTCGTTATCCAAAGGCCTATGCAGGCTATCAGAGCTTTGGTTGTGTTCTTGAGTCCCTTAGCATGTTTGGGCTGCACTACAGCCAGATATCTATCCACACTTATAAAAGCTAGCAGCCATAGAGCGATGCTGGGGTAAAAAATTGTAAATGCACTAAGAACCTGGCAGAAGACATCTCCAAAGATCCAAGACCGTTTGCCATAGTAAAGCATCTGAAAAGGCAAGGAAAATATAAAAAGCAAGTCAAGCAATGCAACGTTCATCATGTATATAGTTATCGTTGTTCTCTTCTTGGTGGTACAGCTGAAGACCCAGAGAGCTGTGACGTTAACAAATAAGCCAATTGCGAAAATAAAGCTGTAGAAGACAAGCGATGAAATTCTGTACTCTTCAGGATGGTCGCTTCCAGACATTGCAATTAGATTTTGATTGTAGTTATTCAAAACTTACAACATGATACCTAAAAACAAAACGGATCAATGATAAATTAAGTTGCACAATCAGTCAGGTCAGTTTGCAGTGGGAAAGATGCATTTGGAACCGGGCAGTCCCATGCTTGCTTTTCACTGGGGAGAAAGTGGTTTCTCTTAAAATGCTGCATGTTAAACTTCAGCTGAACATAACCTCTGATGTGGTAGCTTAGTTTATAGACCCATGAGATCTTTATAAGTTGCAAATGACCCCCTGAAGTTCTGTAAAATGCTGATGCTAATGCAAAATGGGCAGGTGGGTGGAGCGGGGCAGATAAATCAGCCACAGCAAAGCAGTTCTTCATAGAATTGTAGGGTTGGAAGGAGTGGGAGAGGAGTGAAGCATCTGCAGTTTTAGCCATGTGCATTAGCTGTGTGTCCACATTTAAAGCATAGTTTAAACTATGGTTTAAAGTGATGTGCAAATCATGGCAATGAATATTGTTTAGAAAAAAAAACACAAACAAGCTTTTAGAGAAGCAACTTTATAATAACTATATTGTAGAGCATGGGTAGGCAAACTAAGGCCTGGGAGCAGGATCCGGCCCAGTTGCCTTCTAAATCTGGCCTGCGGATGGTCCGAGAATCAGCATGTTTTTACATGAGTAGAATGTGTCCTTTTATTTAAAATGCATCTCTGGGTTATTTGTGGGGTCTGCCTGGTGTTTTTACATGAGCAGAATGTGTGCTTTTATTTAAAATGCATCTCTGGGTTATTTGTGGGGCATAGGAATTTGTTCATTCCCCCCCCCCCAAAAAAAATATAGTCCGGCCTCCCACAAGGTCTGAGGGACAGTGGACTGGCCCCCTGCTGATAAATTTTGCTGAGGAAGGGGACTAGAGGAAGGGTGGACTAACTTCAGTTTTGTAGACTCTGCTTGAATCCTATTAGAATCTCCCAGTGCATGCTGGAATCTACAAAGCAGGAATGCATTTTCATGGTTTCTGTATTGGCTCTGACATAGTGAGTCCTGTGGTGAGTCTAAGCATTCTTTCTTGATTAAGAACTTAAGAATGCATTGACTTGAATCAGACCAGGGCTGGCCTAGTTTAGCATTATTATTATTATTATTATTATTATTATTATTATTATTATTATTTGCAGAAATTCCAGGCACCAACAGGTGGTTCATCATTAGTCCATGATCCCGCACCCTCGTTACAGAGAAATGCTGAGCATTTCACAAATTATTGACTTTGTTGTTGTTGCCATAAAGAGTAGGTTGTCGTGCAAGAGCAATTGTTTGATATTTACTAATATTGCAGAATTATCAACAGACAAAAATATTTCCTGAATATTCAGTGGATTTTCTCATACGCAATGTGTTAATGGAAACTCATTTTATTTGCTGTAAATGGCAGAGTCTGAACAACCTATACTCATGTCAAAAAACAACCATATCTCCCTCCTCCTCCAGTATGCTCATATCTGAAATAAGAAGATGTGGTGAAAGTAGAGGGAAGTAGACTGAAAAACTCTGCAGTCTTTTGCAGCAGATAATTTTAAAAGAGGAAGTTCTGAACATGGTAAAAGAGAGTCTTTTTACTTTCTTTCAGTCTCTTGGGTGGGTTGCCAGCGCCTGTTGCTTTGCAGCTCCCCACACCCTCCCTGTTTTTGTGGCTGAATGAGAAAACCTTTGGTCTCGCTTCGTCTTCTGAGCAGCTGTGCTTTTGAGCTGCCTCTGCTGTGTGTTTTTTCATGTGCAGAAGTGGTGGGTGCCACTGGTTTTGACACTTGCACATTTCTTGCAAAGATTGCAGTCTTTGCTACTACTGCAGTAGCTGATCATTGTTAGCATTGAAATCTGTGGTTCCAGAAAGTCCAGATGAAGCACAGCAGCTGTATGCAAAAGCATCACATAGGACAGAGAGTTAAGCTAGTCTCTTAAGGAGCCTTTAGCTACCACAAAGTTAGTTATGGCAATGCAGTCCTAACCACTAGATATTTTGTAGTAGCTAGCTGCAATGCAGTCTTGCAAATACATCTGCAAGTTACCAACCTACTCAGCTTTTACTAACGTTCCTACCCTCCCCCCACCCATGAAAGTAACTTGTGCTGCCCTTTAAAAGGTGACATTTTGTTAAGCTTCCTGCCTAGTATGCTGGAGGAGATTCTTACTCATCACAGGTGAATGAGCAATTGATTATTTTACAAACCTGCTATAATGGAATTTAGACCACCAGTCAGCTAGCTTAGCATCACATACATGAGGTTGTTGCAGTGCCGTTGGCTTAAGCCACCAGGAGTAGCTGACATGGAGACCACATATTACTGTCAAGAAGCTTATTATTAATTGTTTAGTAGAGTTTGGATGGGATCTTCAACTTAGATCAGAAAGCAGGGAAAGTAGCTAATTAGCGTTAACACATCATATCTAACATGGATTCTAGATCCAAATTTGTTACTGAGGTCCCACCAGCATTTTGAATGTTCATCCGCACCATGACTTTAGAAATCTAAATTTTTGTCTGAGAAACTAAACTTAGCTTTGGCTAAGAGAACCAGGATAAAATCATTCTTTAGCAACCAGAATGACTCTCATTGGTTATGCAGAGAAGTGTGTGAGACCTCCGGAATATGCAAGTGTCTTCCTCCCAGCCTGGTTCCTACAGCGATCAAACCATTACGGAACACTTCTTGATTGGTTTTAGAAGCCTGCCTAGGAAAAGCACCATGCATGAAGCATTATGCCAGTAACTGGTAAACACATCAGTACCCATCAAGGTTAGAGACCATCACCCAATTTATGCTAACATAATACTGCACCCCACAGACTACCTACTCATGACTGCTTTAGATACCCTTCCCATTCTTCAGTCTAGGAAAATCCCTCTTTCATACGACCAAACCCATAAGAGGGGATCCAGATGGAAAAACTGTGCTTGGTTCTTCAGGAATATAGTCAGGTTCTGCTCCTCCCACCTCCATCTTTATAATTTGTACTTGATTTTAGTCAGGGTTCCAAGAGAATCCACAGCCTCGTGTTCCTCCCCCAAGTCTTCACCCCAAAAGCCTCATAACATGCAAGGCTCAAGGGGCCTGGAAGGGCATTGCTTTCCCCAAGTTCCAGAGAACCTCTTGATCCACAGCCCCTTTCCCCCTTACATGACTAATATTTCATCTCTAAGACCTATCACCAAGAGACCTAGTTTACCCCAATACACCAAAATCCTTGGTTAAAGACCCAAACACATGTTCCTCTTGTGCATCTGTAATCGGTGGCATGTGCAGATTAGGACACATGATAACCAATTTATCTTGCCATTGTCCACTGGATTATTTAGGTTTCCTAGGTCAATAGAACCTTGGAAATGAAAGCAAACTAAAGTTTGCAGCTGTGTGTTAAGGCTTTCTAGTTCCCTTTAGCCTATGAGCCTTAGTGTAGACTAAACAACAGAAGTGGTTTTGGTAATTTAGGGTTGGAGTCTTTTATGCGCTTAGCTTGAAACAAGCCCTATTGAACACCGATGAACTTCTGAATGAAAATTTTCATGATGGTGTTGTAAATTTGTGAGAATAAAAGCAAGCTGGGAAATGATATAACATTTCGACATCTAGTTATTTATATGAATAGGAAGAAAGGCTTAAATACTAAGTGTGTTAAAAATGAAAGAAAAAACATGCCCAACTAAAAAAAACTAGTTACAGATAGGTAGCCGTGTTGGTCTGCCATAGTCAAAACAAAACAAAATCCTTCCAGTAGCACCTTAAAGACCAACTAAGTTAGTAACTTAGTTGGTCTTTAAGGTGCTACTGGAAGGATTTTTTTTTGTTTAAAAAAAAACTAGTTTGCTTAGATGAAATTTGGAATATATTTGTTACCACAACGTGTTACAAGTACATGCTCAGAACTGATTGCTTAGCCCAGATGTAGTTAGAAAGCAACACTGGCTTCCAACCTCAGAAACATTGCTTTCATGTTGGAGGGGACCACTTCCTTGTTTCTCAGTATAAAACTTTAATTTAACGAAGGAGTGGCTAAACTGTGGCCCTCAAGGCATTGTTGGACTACAATTTCCATCATCCCTGACCATTGGTCACCCATTACAATCTAGAGAGCCACAGGTTCCCCATCCATGGGAGTCAAACCATTGGCACATCATGCTCAGTAGCATCTATACCAAGTGGCAATGGCTCTCTAGGGATTCAGAGTGAAGTGTCTCCCAGCCCTACCTGGAGATGCCAGAAATTGAAGCTGGAACGTTGAAGGCATTTGGCAACCAGAGCATGCGCTCTGCCACTGAACTATGGCTAAACCTGTTCACTTTAGTAAGAGAAGACTTTGCCAGCCATGAACTACTGCTGCTTATCTCTCAGTACTTTACCTTTGTATGTGTACCATACCTCTGGAATTTTAGATAGATCATATAGCACAGTCTGGCCAGATTCGCAACGCACAGTAAGCCAAACCATGACTTACTGGGCTATGTGAATGTGTGGGCTCTCAGAAAAGTGCTCCCAGCTGCTTTGCTTTTCCTTGGTTCCTTTTGTTCCAGTCGCACACTGAGCCAAGCTGAGGTTTGGCCTTGAGTATCATCCAAACCCAAGTTTGTGGTTCGCCAACAGAATTGTAGCCAAGGTTTATTCTTGGCTGGTCCATTTGTCACCATTTTGGTGCGTGAAGTCGAGAAAATGTATGGAAGAAGTATGGAAAGGGCAGCTGTTGGGCAAATTTAAGTTGATCGGAGATACATGGGGTAGTTTGTGGCACACCGTTTGACTGAACGACAACAAAAAAATGGATTTCTCATCAGGCAGATCTTGTTTACGAGGGCTACCAGGCAAGTGACTTTAAAAAAACAAACCCCAAAAGGGCTGCACATTTAGAATTGTATTTTGGGCACAGAGGACCTCAGAATTTGGACCCATTTGCTATGTTTAGTGGTAAAAACATTTAGCTGCTGTAACTGAATAATTAGCTCCATCAAAAAACCTCTTTCCCAGCGGCTTATTTTAATTTGCTTATTTATAAACCTAACCTTAAAGAGAATGTGAAAATGGTCACAACATTAATGTTTAGTAGTTTAAAGTTAGGCTGGTATAAGTACTTTTAGTAACAATTCTGTTATAATACAACATAACACAACATGGGTTTGGATCTAAATAACCTTGCAACAGGGGGTGCAAGGCTTGTCTTTTTTTTAAAGTAGCTTGCCCCTATGAAATGTGGCTGGTAATGTTTGGAGCTGAGTTGACTTTCAAAGGAGATTGCAGCATTAGATGGAAATCTGTCCAAAAATAAGAAAGTAGAAACCCCACAGTGTGTGTGCAGTGCCTTAGGTGTGCCTAAAGTAAGTCTTTGGATCATAAATATGGCATATATATATATCCTGAGTTTGCTTTGGTTTATCCTTTTGTTTGTTTAATTCTACAGGAAAAACTCAATTTTTCAGCAATTCTTTGTATTTCTCAATGCCTCTGAATTTAAATTAACTGAGGATATTGTAAGTATAGCGTATTCATTATTTCAGAAATGTGGGAACAGTCCTCCCTTTGTTATAGAGATGGTCTTTATGTTGTCAGTCTTTCATTCTAGTTATTTGATAAAAAACTGCAGGGATTTTGAAAAATTGCATGTAGTTCAGAAAGTTAAAAATCACTTACATTACAATACTGAAGTATTAGTGTTAAAAGCTTTAAACAGTGGTGGCATTCAATTTTATTTTGCTGCTTTAGAATCTGTATATTTGTGTATGTCGATATTTTAAAACGGTTGATAGCACAAACGGAGATGGACAATTAATCACATTTCCTACCTGTTTGCACTTTGCTCTTCTTTTAGAGATGCCTTCTTTGCACTCTCTGATCTGCAAAAGATTTGGAGCTCTTGTCTTTGTAATAACTTCCGTTTACTAAAATAGAAGCCCTCATTTACAGTCAGGAAATGAAATAATGCAACTAGTTCCCTGATTGGTTATATAGATTTTCTCCAATAAAAAAAATACTGTGAATAATCTATAGGTGTATAAACAAGGCGCGTTTCGTTCTTGTTACATATGTCAGCTGACCAAATATTTCCTCCTGTCTGCTAGAGTGTGGTTTTTCTGCTTTCCTACCCTTAAATTAAATTAAATTTAAATTTAATTAAATTTAAATTTAATTATGGCATAAACATAAAGCATTCATATGGCTGAAGTACTGTAAAGAAATAAACATGTTCACATTTATTGTTGTAATGGCTGTATATTATAAGCATACATTTTATTTATTTTCATAGGGCAGGGAGTTTCTGATAAATCATTATGCTTTAACTCTGTGGTCCTGTGGAAATCCCCTTGCGCATGTCATTTGTAACCCTTCTTTTCAAAATCGAAAGCACGTTGTGAATGCAGAGGTTAGGTTTTTAGCACTTCCCTTTCATTCCTAGTAAATCCTAATGATAACTAATTCTCCTACTGATGATTACTATGAAAGTTGTAACTAACAGGATTGAGGACTACATTTCATCACATAATAGCAACATTAAACTCTTCATGAAGATTTGCTGTCAGTTGACCTAATACAATACAGTGGTACCTCGGGTTAAATACTTAATTTGTTCCCGAGGTCCGTTCTTAACCTGAAACTGTTCTTAACCTGAAGCACCACTTTAGCTAATGGGGCTTCCTGCTGCCGCCACGCCACCGGAGCACGATTTCTGTTCTCATCCTGAAGCAAAGTTCTTAACCCGAGGTACTATTTCTCGGTTAGCGGAGTCTGTAACCTGAAGCATATGTAACCCGAGGTACCACTGTACAGTGAAATGCATGGCACATATACAGTGGACACTCGGGTTGCGAACGTGATCCGTGCGGGATGCATGTTCGCAACCCGCAGCGGCGCATCTGTGCACGCGTGTGTTGTGATTCAGCGCTTCTATGCATGCGCAAAGAGTGAGTTAGGGCTTCTGTGCATGTGTGACTGCTGAAACCCGGAAGTAATCCGTTCTGGTACTTCTGGGTTTCGGCAGTCCGTAATCCAAAAAAACACAACCTGAAGCATCTGTAACCCGAGGTATGACTGTATATGAAAGAAGGAAAGAGAATGCCATGGGCTGCACAGCGTTGGTTGAGAGAAAATGAGGGAGAATTATTAATGGCATTCAGATGTCCCACCCTCAGAGACGGATGGAACTTGATGTGGTCCTGTGTATCCTGGAGAATTTTCCAGTGGAGAAAGAAGACAATCCTTTTGTTGTTGTTGTAGTAGTAGTAATAATAATAATAATGATAATAATTTATACCCCGCCCATCTGGCTGGACTTCCCTAGCCACACTTTCGAAGCCCTAGTTCCGCTATAGAACAGTGGTATGAAATGGGAGGTTGACACAATCACTCCCAGTTGTAAATTACTGTAAAATAAATTGCTGTTTTGCCAGCATAGTGAAACGACATTTCCCGAAATGCCCTAGTTGTCATTAGAAATCTGCCTTGAGCGATGGCCAGGGGTGCCACAGACAACACTGGCCTCTGTCCCTCTTTCCTTCCCTCCCTCCTCTGATGTCTTCTCACATCTCTGCTTCCCAAAGGTTTGCACAGCTCTTTGTTGCAGCAGGAGCTGCACCGAGGACTCCCAAGGAGAGGAGAGGAGGCTGAGGGAACACTCTACAAGGGAGGGTATTTGAAAAAAGGCGAGAGGCTGGCAGCCCTGCAGGCAAGGGGTGACATAACTGGGCCCCTGAGCCCCTCGGGGGTGCCGCAGAAAGAGTGTACTTGGTCAAGGGAGCCGTGGACTCAAAAAGGTTGAAAACCGTTGCCTGCTAGGCTATTGGCTTATCTAGCTTAGCATGGTCAACACTGAATGGCAGCAGCTGTCCAAGATTTTTGGCAGCGGTCTTTCTGAGTCCTACCTGGTGACACCAGGAATTGCACCTGTGACCTTCTCCATGTAAAATACTGAGCTACAGCCCTGTCTCAGGCGCATTCTACCACCTATTAACAGTTTGTCTGCAGAATGATGTACACTTTTCAGCATACTGGTGACTGATGCCTCATTTGCTATTGCCTATTTGCTTTAAGAGGGACGCGGGTGGCGCTGTGGGTAAAACCTCAGCACCTAGGACTTGCCGATCGCATGGTCGGCGGTTCGAATCCCCGCGGCGGGGTGAGCTCCCGTCGTTCGGTCCCAGCTCCTGCCCACCTAGCAGTTTGAAAGCACCATTAAGTGCAAGTAGATAAATAGGTACCGCTTTATAGTGGGAAGGTAAACGGCATTTCCGTGTGCTGCGCTGGTGCTGGCTCGCCAGACGCAGCTTCGTCACGCTAGCCACGTGACCCGGAAGTGTCTGCGGACAGTGCTGGCTCCCGGCCTCTTAAGTGAGATGAGCGTACAACCCTAGAGTCTGTCAAGACTGGCCCGTACGGGCAGGGGTACCTTTACCTTTTATTTGCTTTATAGGGACACGGGGGTGCTGTGGGTTAAACCACAGAGCCTAGGACTTGCTGATCAGAAGGTCAGTGGTTCGAATTCCCGTGACGGGGTGAGCTCCTGTTGCTTGGTCCCAGCTCCTGCCAACCTAGCAGTTCGAAAGCACGTCAAAGTGCAAGTAGGTAAATAGGTACCGCTCCGGCAGGAAGGTAAACGGCGTTTCTGTGCATTGCTCTGGTTCGCCAGAAGCGGCTTAGTCATGCTGGCCACATGACCCGGAAGCTGTACGCTGGCACCCTCGGCCAATAAAGCGAGATGAGCATCGCAACCCCAGAGTCGGCCACGACTGGACCTAATGGTCAGGGGTCTCTTTACCTTTACCTTATTTGCTTTATAAGCAGTACTCCATTGGGAACCAGGCTGAAGCTGCTCAGGAAATTGCTGTTATTACCAGAGACTATGGAGTGGGGGGGGCGGTAAGCAAGTAAGAGCAGGCAGATTTTAGAAATCCTGCAGATAAATTGGTATGTGAACTTTTTGTACTCGGCTCTCCTGTGCTTTGGGCTCACTCTTAACTTCGAATTTTCATGCAAGCGCTCATGTGTGGCATACCCTCAAATGTCCCTGTTTTCCAGGGACAGTCCCGAAATTTCAAAAGCCAAACCGGCTTCTGATTTGATCCCATAATGTCCCAGTTTCTCCCCCGCCCCCAGCACTGCCAGTGCTGAGCTCAGGAAAGAGGAAAAGCCAGTGCTTGTCCTGAGCAGCTGCCACAGCGGTGGCGACTGTGACAGAGCATCCTGTTTCCTCAACATGGTCTCTCCATGGCTGCTGCTGCCAGCCTCTTCCCTTGGGTAGTGGCTGCTGGAGATTGGGTGAGGAGGAGAGGAGAGAAAATGGTCTTTGGTAAAGGTTCATTATGGCACTGTTCCAAGATAGCCTTTTAAAAAAACGTTTGCATGCATAGGTGAATAGATACATGAGTACACTGGTACCTCAGTGTTAAGGGTATCGGGTGGTTGCTCGAGAGTAATCAGGCAAGATGCCTCACTAGTCTGTTCTAAAGCTTTCTTATTGGTGCTAAAAAAAACCTTTAGAATGCAGAGCGCCTCTATTCCATGTCTTGCTCATTCACTGGCAGAATCTGAGAGTGGGCGGTCCTTAAATCTTCCCCAGCAGAGTAGTTTCTTGACCCCCAGTCTGCGCCTCCCCTTTCTGCGCAAAAGCCTGCTGCGCAAGGAAGGCTTGGGTGGCGGGGGACCTCCCTCCTCCCCGCTTTGCTCAGGCAAGGTGTCCTGGCACTGCCTTGCCTCCTCCGAGCCCTGCATCTCCTCCCCACTAGAGGCGTGGCTTCCTTCCTCCGCTGAGGAAGTGCTGCTTCCCATGATCTTTGGGGGCTCTCTGTAATCCATCTGCCTTTTCCCCTCTTGCCCCTGAGCCGAAGGCAGTTCCCTGACACTCAGGTTACAGACTCCGCCAACCCAGAAATAGTACCTCGGGTTAAGAACTTTGCTTCAGGATGAGAACAGAAATTGTGCGGCGGCAGCGTGGCGGCAGAGGGAGGCCCCATTAGCTAAAGTGGTACCTCAGGTTGAGAACAGTTTCAGCTTAAGAACAGACCTCCAGAACGAATTAAGTTCTTAACCCGAGGTACCACTGTACATGTCCACACATGTCCACAACAGACTTCAGGTTTCTGGAACTTTCAGAGGACGAGGAAGTAATAATTGAGGGGAAAACAACACAAAGCCCAAATACATCCCCTCAAGCACTAAGCACTAGTGTAGAAGTTTGGACTTTGGCTCCAGTGTGACACAAATGCATACTTTTTTAGGCTGCTGAGATTTCAGAAAGATGACAATCGGTACTTACAAAGCCGAGAGACCTTAGGGGCTTTTCTTAAAATTAAGAAATCAAGAAGCAGAATTATTGTTAGTGCTTGGGCAATGCTTAGTATTGGTTTGAGACTGAAAGTATTTATGGTGGATGTGGCAAGTTCCCTAATAATTCCATGTGAAATTGTTGATTCTATATAGAACGCTAGGTCATCTTTGTGAGGGACCATGAGTATAGCATTCATGTGCTGTTGTTATGTTTGGATATTAGCAACACTCCGAATGATTCATTCCATTGTATTTAGTCTGTTTCCTTAAATATCGTTCTGTATGCCCATGCTTTATCTTAGTTGTATTTATTCGCCTTGCCTTCAAAAGGCTAGAGTTATTGATGTAACTGTATTGCCCTCTACTGTTCAGTATCTATTATTGCTACAGAGCAGTCATGGAATACAGTAGTTTGACCTGCTGGTGGCATATGTGACTATCTTAACTCTGACATAAGAGATCAGACCTTACAATATGTGATCCATCAAGCCAAATGCAGCCCACAAACTTCATTAACATACTGGTTTTTGCTGCATGGTTAGGATTGTAAAAACTGCCATGGTCATGTGTGAGTCTCAACCTCCTGGCATGCC